AGATGCTGTAGCAACTCTTATTATTGAGGATTAAATGTCTAACCAAGGTCAACGGCCCGGTTAGACAAAAAGAGAAGACAATAATAATAATATAATACTAATAAACAATAATACCAGAATAATGGTATATATATATATATATGGGGTGGGTAGTGGTGAAGATAAATGATGAGTTTCGAGAGGCAGATTGTAACGATATATATAGTTGTGTTATGGGAGGAGTCGGTGGAGGTACAGCGGTACACCTTGTGCTGTAGGATATACTCTGTAGATGAGATGCTGATTTAGAAGGAAAACAGACCTCGACGAGGAGGATTTTAATAAATATAACAGAAAAGAGTTCCTCCAGCTCTTTTCAAGTATAATTCAATTCGGGTTAAGACGATTTCGCAATGCCGCTGCTTTCTTCCCCCCCTCCCCCGCTCCCCCCGGGCCCCCCAAAATGGAACTCCATATTCTGCTTGAAATCCTGCGGCAGATCTTCTAAAATCGCCATCCCTGACGGAACGCACAGAGCGAAACAATCTCTTATCCACTGGCATCCAGTCGGTCAACGGGTTTGGGAAACCTCTAGGACGTTAGCATCGGTTTGAGAAGAACCTTGTTCCTCAATCAGATCAAAGCATTCTTCGCCTCGACGCATCATAACAAAATTCAGGCACGAGCAAGGAGCCATGAAAATTAAATAACCATAATTAAAGAAGCGATATTTTTCTGTCAGAGCTCGTCAAATCAATGCCCGTAACTAACGGCCCATTATCGGCTTCGTTCTTTTTGCTTTGCTTTGCTTTTTATTTAGTTTCTTTTTTTTCATCATGTTCTGATGAACCGGATGCTCCGCCAAAATACAGAGCAAGATTGAGACACCACACAGGAACCATTCTGGTCAGAACGTTCTGCGATGGTTCTGGTCTCGGGACAGATGACTGGTCCATTGAGATAGTGGGATGGGTAGTTCCAGGGTCTAAAGGATCCCCACCAGGAGACGGATGGGTTCCAAAAAGTAAGGCGACGCTTTATCGTTCATTTGAAGCTCATCGCATGGCGACGATTGGACGCCTCTGCCTGGCATTGGGTAGACGTGCATCTGAGACTATCAACTGGCCCGCCAAATGCAAGACCTGACCTGAGCATGATCCAGCAACTGGGGACGCGGGCCTGGCTCGCTGAGTGGCTGCCACGGTCTCCAGCTCTAGAATTTAAAGATTCATGAAGCTTATAGACTTAATGGACTCTGCTTTTTTCTATCCTTTCGAGGATGAAGCAGGATGGATGGATATCCTGACTGCTTCTCCCCTGAGTTCCATGTACCCTTCGGTCCTCATCTCGGATTTGTTTCCCACCTAAAGACAGCCCAGCTTGCCCAGCGTATCTCCGTCCAGAATTATATTACCCATAATTCTTCTGTAGTGACAGTGTGTGGTGTATGCATGTACGATGTCATCGGGAAACTCAGGGAGGAACCTTTAATTTTTCTTTTCTGAGTTGAGGTTATTTAGCAACCACAATATCAACAACAGCATGGAACAAGGGTTGTTTCATAGAAATAGCAGTATTCTTCATGCCCTGGGACGCAATCTAGCAATCTAGCAGAGCAACTCTCAAGGTGAAAAAAGAAAATGCAACCCAGTTCTTCTCTCCCCTTTCTCTCCGTAGATCCCCCCATCCACTCTTCTCGTCCTTTGGTGGTTGACTGGTTTCATGTTCCCGGTGACGAGTTGCGACGGGAGAGAGAACGCGGCCCGACCCATGGTTCCTACTGATGCGACTGACCCTCACTGTTGAGAATGGCATGAAAAGCAACTCTATCTAGTTAGTTAACTAACTACTGGACTTCAAAATTTAAAATAACTATTCAGGTACTCCTTTGAACTTCCAACCAAGATTACAGCGCCATCGTTTATTGGCCCGCATATTTCCTGAAGAGGTCCTGTTTTTACCCAGGCATTCCAGACTTATTTAGGCTAATTCTCCCTTTTGCCATAACAAAACACCCATCATGATAGTTATTTAATCAACATCCTACGTTCAACCCTTGATCTGTTACAAAAAGCTAAAAGCTAAAAACCTCACTCTTACGCTGGTCCATTCTCACTTCAAGCGGCATCCCCTTTCCTCCCCGCCTCACTCCCCTGCGCTCTCTTTACCCTGATGCCTACGTCTTTCCCGTCACGATAGAATAACTAATCTCCCGGACTCGCCCTAACATCTCCACGCCCCACGATCATGAGGCCTATTTCCGTCTCTACTGCCCTCTCCTCTACCTTGTGGCTTCTGCTCGTGTCTCTCAATACTGTGCGAATATTTCCCGTCCCTTACATGACATGACAGACATATAGAGTGATGCTTAGTCCCCTTCTAATCATTAACTTCATCGATTAATCTCTCCGAGAGAGTAAAAACTGAGGGTTGCTCTCAGTGAGAGATCTACATATACATACATCCAACCCATGTCTTCGTCGATTGCGGGGCAATCAAATAAGGAAATAAATTCCACAAAAGCAAAGCAGAGAGGGAGAAGAAGGCGAGAAAGAAAGAAAGAAAGGAGTGAACTAGTCCTTATCTCACGGCTATCAAAACCTCCAACTTCTACCATTCCTCATCCCAAATACCGAACTGAATAGTTAGCACGGTAATGAGTCAAATGTAATGAACATACAACGTCGATCAATCAATCAACGACTCTCTCCAGCTTTCCAGGGCACTAGCCAAAAACAGACCAGACCATATAATACATTATACAGTCCAGTCGGAACAGACCCCCAAAGCCCTTCAAAAGCCCGAACATACTAATTTCAAAAATGCCAATGACTGTCGAGATCATGGTTGGGAAGGGGGTATTCATTGCGGCCTGAACGCCTCACATCTCAGACATTTACTCGAGCTGGCAGGGTGGACGATTCATTCAGATCTCGCTCTCGTCCCTCCCTCTGACCTTCTTGTCTCATACAGCCTCTTCAGAATACGACCGGCTGAGGAACTACTTCATATCTGGAATTGGAGATTTCCATGGGTACTGTTGTTCGTTTGTTTGTTTGACAACTAGTTATCTATCTTGCCGCTTCTGCTTCGTATTAGTCTGCAAGTAAATATACCGAGAAAAGATGATTCGCAACTCTACATCGACCCACGCGTATTTGCTCAGGAAGAAGCTGTCAAACAATCTCATTCAAGTTGCTTTCCCTATCCACTGACCCTTTCAGGCACGCCCCGATGCCCATATTAATCTTAAAAAGACCGCAAAATAGCCCTAGAATCCGTCAATCCAGCTAACGCTAGCAAGAGTAAAGAATTGGTCTCTCCTCGCTGGCAAACTGGATGCGTCACACTGTCGGTCTGCTTATTTAGTTAACTTCCTACTTTTTAAGGCATTAGAAGTATCTAGTTAACTAAATTAACTAGCCTGACCATCAACGTAAATATAATGATGCTCCGGTGAGGAGCGACTCTCTGTGCTTCTCTGGTATTAAACTTAGCGAGTTGACTATGTATTTATCCCGCCAGCTGGTTGGATCTTGGATCTTGGATCTTGGAATAAATGATCTGCACGAGATCCAAGAATACGGTCCCCGTGCAACCGGCGCCTCTCAGTGGATGTTAATAAGTTTAATAACAGAAGTGGAGGGGTAACTAGTATTGAGAAATGGTATCATGAGAATCAACATGCAACGAGGGCATGAATAACTAATAAATAACTATGAATGGAATGAAACATAAACATTCAAAGTTCAATGTCTTGAAACGCTGGCGGTAGTTGGAAGCATTCGCTGGCTGGCGCGTAAAGAAAGCTAATCAAGTTACAGAAAAATAACCGCCGATATGATGATTTGACAAGAGAATGCCATCCCACATTTAGGAACACCTCCATGCATCGAATCGGCTGCGCTGTTCTACTGCAAATGGAGAATTTGTAGCGTGGTCGGTTGGGGATTATGGCGGGCCCAACAAAACAATGGTTATTCCAACATGCGTAGTTACGAAGGTACACCGCCACTCCGTAAAAGCCCTGCATTTGCAGTTTCATCCGGCTACCTGTTCTGATGTAACTTCTCCATGCACATTAACTACATGGAAATGACCTAGGGCTCAGCCAGTTGTTATATCTTTCCCTGCTTCTGCACTAATCTTCGCTTTCATTAGCCCGATCTCAAAAAGGTACAACTCTGAAATATAAAAACCAAATCCTTACAGAAGAATCCACTCGGCGGGCGTGTAACGATATGAAACAAAACAGGATAGCCCAGAAAAAGAATCCACACACGCCTGAGACCGTGAATTTCTTGAAGAAGTTTTTAAACCCGTGGTCTCCGGAGGCGATGTTGATTGCTGGCATCAGCCTAAGGCGTTATTGCTTATTTCACACCTTCATCAAACAATGGCATGCGTGCAATAAATTGCATGACTTGGGATCTTCTCCCTTCTTTTCTCCGAGTGCTAGTAGTTAGCTCACGATCAATGTTGACTCTGGACCCTATTTCGCGGATCACGAGATGAGATTTCCTCCGCAGGCTGAGGAACCCAGGCAACATAGCGGGAAATTACGCTATGGATGAATGGATCAAAATTGCGGCACCGCAACTGATCTTATATAAATCATCACTGCTAACGAACTATCGCACTCGCTTCAGCTCTTATTCAGCACTTTTCCATCTCTCCCATGACTCCGAAACTCGGTGTATCCTACACACCTAATTCATCCCCCATCATCCCCCCCCCCCCAACAAAAACAATAATTACGACCTTATCACACCTTATTGTGAGTCTCAAAATTCAAATGCAACAGAACAATCTTCAATAAGCCCTAATGGCAACAAAAGCCAATAACACGAGGGATCAGGTGTGATATGTGATGATCCATCAACGGAACGGAGAGGGCGGGGAACGGGCCGTGGTGCATAAAATGAGCCTTGCCAACTTTAACCTTGCTCACCATTTGGCCTGGACTGGTTGTGGTCATTTCCGATTGAACAACCGACGGGATGAAGCCATGGTTCAAGGCATGTTCTTTTGGGCTCCTTTATGGCCTTGTTGTCTTGGGAGGGATGGGAGAAGGGCTTTTATTCTTCACAGTTGTTGATGTCATTGAATGAGTGATTGAGTGCCCGTATTGTTGAATAGCGGGGTTGGGGCTTGGCGGGCGTTGTGATCGCAGTAAATATGGGCTTGAGGTGTTTTTGCTGAAGGTTGATTAAACTATCAAAGACTGCAGAAACTCGCGTTTTTTTTTTTTTTTTTTTTTTTTTTCCATGGCGGGGTTATCCGGTGATCGGCAGTTCGATGAAGAGGGGTCATTGATGAGAAATAGCCCAAATGGTAACTAGAAAAGCGTTGAGCTTAGAAGGAAACAACCTGGAGATTTTTTTGTAAGTTCCCTCCCAAATAACTACCCAGGCATCCATTATTGCAGTTCCATGACGCGTGGTAGCATGTCCCGCAATTACTATCCAGTGGAGAACATCTCGTGGAGGTCTTTCAATCTCTCCTCTGGAGCGATTCTTCTTTTTATTCATGTTCTCGCTAAGAGCAGTATCAAAAACAGTTTATCACTGGTAGGTCATGTCAATTGCCTGGCATACAATTACTTGTAAATGAGGATGACCGAGCTGAGACTGTCTCACCATATGCACATCATATACAGTGTAGATTGAAAATGATTCACGTCGTGAGAAGGGAAGCATGATAGCAGGATATAATTGGCTAGTTAACTAGAGGATTTGGGCGCTTCCAAGATTCGGATATTACGCGGCTATTGTTAACTAAGCGAACCCCTGAATCTGATTCTAAGCTCTTCTCCGTGAGAAAGGGAACTGAAATTATACTTCTTTTCATCTATTTCGATAATGCTGCGTTTAGAAGCCTTATTTTTCTATTTTAATTTAATTTAATTCAAGATTTAGTCTGTACTACAGAAGGATACCTAGATACTTCCGAGGTCTACGCCTCCTGGCAGCGGTTCTTGGCTTCTGATAGAATTATGAGTAACTTATGCTTCATCTCCCGCAGTTAGCGGTATCAGAGTATACGGAGTTTTTGATAAATTGCTGTTTGCGAATTTTCTTCTGCCACGTTTCCATTTTGTTCATTGTCAAATATGATCGTACATGTTTCATATTTGCTAATATTGA